AGCTTCGGGACTCTCTCCTGGGGCCCTGGGCCTCGACCCTCGACGCCATGAGTTGTTCATAACGTCGACCCCTGGAGGTCCGGACCCATTCCCCAGGAAAGGTTTTTCATCCTGAGTCGTTTCCCCCAGAAGCCGCGAATGGCAAAACACCTCCCGTCATGATTTCTGTCTTGCCCGAGGGGTCTGGGGGGGACCCAGGGAGGCGGCCGCGTGCAGTGCGCAGCGAGCGGGCCCGGCAGGAGGGCCGATGGCCCCCTCCTGCTGCCGTGCCTGGGGAGGGGGGGGGTGCACGGTTTCCCCCGGGGCCGTAGGCGACCCGAGGAGGGGGAGGAGAAGGAGGGGGAGGAGGAGGAGGAGGAGGAGGAGGAGGGGAGGAGGAGGAGGAGGGGAGAGGAGGAGCAGGAAGCAGGAGCAGGAGGAGGAGGGAGGAGGAGGAGGAGGAGGGGAGAGGAAGGGAGCAGGAGCAGGAGCAGGAGGAGGGGAGGAGGAGGGAGGAGGAAGCAGCAGTAGGAGGAGGAGAGGAGGAGGAGGAGGAGGAGGAGGAGCAGGAGAAGGAGGAGGAGGAGGAGGAGGAGGAGGAGGAGGAGGGGAGGAGGAGCAGGAGCAGGAGGAGGAGCAGGAGGAGGAGGAGGAGGAGGAGGGAGATGGTAGAGGAGGAGGAGGAGGAGGCGGAGGAGGAGGAGAGGAGGAGGAGGAGGAGGAGGAGGAGCAGGAGCAGGAGCAGGAGGAGGAGGAGCGGGAGGAGGAGATGGTAGAGGAGGAGGAGGGGGAGGAGCAGGAGGATGAGGAGGAGGAGGAGGAGGAGGAGGAGGAGGAGGACAAGGAGCAGGAGGAGCAGGAGAAGGAGGGGGAGGCGGAGGAGGAGGAGGGAGGGAGGAGGAGGAGGAGGAGGAGGAGGAGGTGGAGGAGGAGAAGGAGGAGAAGGAGGAGGAGGAAGGAGGGCGGAGGATGAGGAAGAGGAGGAGGGAGGAGGAGAAGGAGGGTGATGAGGAGGAGAGGAGGAGAAGGAGGAGGACGATGAGGAGGAAGAGGAGAAGGGAGGGGAGGAGGAGAGGAGGAGGAGGGGAGGGAGGAGGAGGAGGAGGAGGAGGATGAGGAGGAGGAGGAGGAGGAGGAGGAGGAGGAGGAGGAGGAGGAGGAGGAGGAGGAGGCGGAGGAGGAGGAGGAGAAGGAGGAGGAGATGGAAGAGGAGGAGGAGGAGGAGGGCGAGGAGGAGGAGAAGGAGGAAGGAGGATGGAGGAGGAGGAGGAGGAGGAAAGGAAAGGAGGGAGGAGGAGAAGGAGGAGGAGGAGGAGATGGAGGGAGGAGGAGGAGGAATGGTCGCCAAAGCCCTTCGGGGAAACCTTCCATGGGGGGGGGGCGTCGGAGCCCGTGGGGCGGGGGCCCCAGGAGGCACAAACAGCTGCAACCGACGCGTCCAATAAGGATGCGCGGCAAGATGCGATCCCCGTGGACGCCCACGCGGCAGTTCCCCAGACCCCCCTCGGGTCGTGACAAAACTCCTGACTTCAGGCTTGCTGCTATCGTCGGCCTCTGGGGGCCCTTGCCGGCCCTCGGGGCCGTCAACAAACTACCGAGGATGAAAAACCGGGCCCCGGGAAGGGGTCCAGACCTCTGGGGTCGACGTCATGAAGAAATCATGACGTCGAAATCTGGGAGTCACGATGCGCGGTAAGATGCGACCCCCGTGGACGCCCACGTGGAAGTTCTTTGAGCTACGGAGTGTCTAAAGATAGGCTTAGGTCGTGCATGTCCTCCTACAGGCGGATTGCGAGCCTATGATGTGATCTATGCGCTCCGCCTTGAATTCTTGACGTCGGCAATTCTCGCAGAAAGGCGATAGCAGGGAGCACGAGGGTTTGGGGCCCCTCAGGGCCCCAGATCTTGCCGAGCTCGTCGCGTGCACCCAAAACGCCGACCGCAGCATTTCAACTCGAGTTCGATCGAGCGAACGTCCGGCAAGCCAAGAGGTCCAAAGAGAATGGGAAGGGGCACGTAGAAGGAGAAAACACAGCATTGCCATACATCGTCGGAGATCCGCGCGGATGTCTTGGATCTGCGTAGGGCCCCCTTCCCTGGAGCGCGGACCGCGCCAGGGGCGGCGCAAGAAGCGCCACCAGGAGCAAGATTACTTGCATGGCGTTCGCCCGGACCCCCACCCCCCCCCCACCCCACCTTCTCGCCCCTCTTCACACGAATACTCGCGTGCAAATGCCTTTCGACTTGAGTGGTTTCCGCACGTGCAAGTCGTTTGCGGCTTACTTCAGGTTCAAGCCCCACCCCGTGCATGCAAATAAGCTTGCAATAATCTAGAACAAAACGGGCTACACAGAAAGGGGGCCCAACGCTGATCGAAGAGATCCGTGCGGACCTCCTCACAATTTATGCATGCAGCCTTATGTGGCTTCGGACGCCAGGAGGTATTAGCAGGCGAAGAACGTCGTAACATAAACTGTTCCGTCGCCGGGGGCGCCTGTCCCAGGGTGGCTGGAAAATTTACACCCTGACATGCCACCGCAAGAGTATAAACTTTCCAGCCGCCCCGGGACAAGCGACGGCGGACCAGTTTATGTCATATTGTCTTTCGCCAGTCAAGGGAGGAGGTAGAAGAAAAATAAGAAACAACGCCAGAAACATAAGCTGTCGACGGTCCGCACCAAAAGTTCATGCTCGTGGCGTGTCTTCTTCGAGGAGGGGCAATGACGTTGTGAGGAGCTTCCCGACCCCCAAATGCACCACAGGCCAGAGCCCACGACCCGCAAGCCGGATATACGCCCTGGGGCAGGCGTCCCCGACGGCGGGACAACTATTTCACGCTGTCCTTCGCCCGTCAGAGGAGGAAAAGCAAGCACGTCGTGAGGAGCTCCCCGACCCCCAGAATGCATCACGGGCCAAAACCCACGACCCGCAAGCCGGATACACGCCTCCGATTGCTCTGCGCGGGCTGGCTGCCCCGAGCCCCTGAAACGACACGGCAGCGCGGCAGCACTGCTGGCACGAGGCAGCCGGGAGCCAGCTCTCAGATCCGACCGATCGCGAGACCCGGCCCCGGTCAAGGCCGATCCACGCCCAAGACCTCTGCACAATCCCCTCCGACCTCCCTGGATCCACATCCCCTGTCCTCGAGTCGTTCTCCCCTGTTCATCGTTCTAGCCTCCTCCCCCCTCTGTTCCCGCTCTCGTTCGCCTCCTCCCTCACCCCCTGCGTTCATCCCCCTCCTTCACCTCATCCCACCCCTCCCTCTATCCCCCCTCCTTCCCCTCCCTCCACTTCAACCTTCCTCCGCCTCTCTCTCGCCCTCGTCATCGCCGCCCGCCTAGGCTTCGTCTCCCATCCCCTCATCCGCCTCCTCTGTTCAGCTTTGCGGCGGATGTCCTCCCACCACGGGTCGACCCCTCCAGTGCAGCACTCCTCTATGATTCGGAGAGGCCTTGTGGAGGTGTCGTGCAGCCCCGTCCGGGCCTCATCCAGGAATGGCCCCTCACGGAGTGCAGCAGAATCGAACCAGAGCCCTACATCATCCCCTCCGCGTCCTTCATCCGTCTGCTCCCCCCCTCTCCCCGCTCCCTCCCTCACTTCTCCTCCCCCTCCCCCCTTCCCCTCCCCCATCCCTGGGCCTCATCTCCTTCAACTAGCAGAAGGAAAAAAACACCATAAACACAAACTTTTGGCGCCCCGCGCGTATTTCTTGGATCTGCGCTGGACCCCCCTCCCCGGCGCGCGGAGCGCGCCAGGGGCGGCGCCGGAGGCGCACCCCGGGGGGGCCCAGCGCGGATCCAAGAAATCCGCGCGGAGCGCCAAAAGCTTATGTTCATGGCGTTCCTTCTTTTTCGATCGACCTCCTCCTCCCCTCACCTCCCCGCCTCCTCTTCCGTTCCTCCTCCATCCTGTTCTCCCAGAAGTAGCCAAGTAGCCCCTCCCTGTCGCGCCCTCGGGCGCGCCGGCAGCGCGGGCCGCGCGCTTCGCCCGAAAAGCTTCCTCGCCATGTCTGATCCCGGCGCTCGGAACTTTTGCAGCAGCCTCAGCGCTGCAGGGCGGGCCGTGTTCAGCACATGGTGTTTGCCTCGGCGACGCGCGCGTTCGTCTCGAAAGCTCACAACACGCTCTCGTGTGGAGGGGAGGTGGTCTTCAAAATGTGGCGCTCGCCTGCGCGCCGCGCATATTTGTCTTGAGCGGCTTCAGCCATTTCAGCAACACAAGCAGAGATGCCGTCTTCGAAATGAGGCTCTCGCCTCAGCGCCGCGCACACTCGGCTTACAAGTTCGCAGCAGTTGCAGGGATGGAGGGCGGTGCCTCTCCTAACTGTCACTTTCGACTTAGCGCCTTGCGCGTTCGCCGTGAAAGCTTCCAATAGCTTCAGGGATGGAGGGATGCTAATCTTCAAAATGTGACTGTCGCCTTAGCGCCGTACAAATTCGTCTTAAAGTTTTACAAACTTGCGGCAGCATCAAGGATGGAAGGCGGCCCCTTCCTAAAGTGTGGATTCACCTCAGCGCCGCTCACATTCATCCCACAAGCATCTCGAAGAACCAGTTTCAGCACGGAGTTCTCGCCTCAACGCCTCAGCGCCGCCCTTGCTCGTCGCAAATGATCTGCAACATGTACATATCTGTTAGGGCAAGCGGGGGTGGCGGAGCCGATCGAAAACGGAGAGGGGGAGGCGGACATGAGCCCGAGAGGGCTAACTCGATTTCTGGCCTGTGCCCCTTTTTCCTCTCTCCTCTCTCTAGGCCATATTTGTTTAGCTAGCAGACCTCAAAAGCCCAGGCTCCAGCTGGGCATCTCCGTCGATGTGTCGCTAATATACGGGACCCGAAGACTCAACACGAGCGGCCCTTTTTCAAAACGGGGCTCTCCTCGCTTAGCGGTTTCCTCGAAGCTCCTGGCCCAGTCGGTTACACGGCTGGGGGGCGGCCCCTGTTCGGAAGGGGTGGTCAAAACATTTCGCGCTCGAACCTACCCGTCGGTCGGAAGATGTACATAGGTCTAGACATAAAGCA